CGACATTATTCCTCTCTCCTACAGCGTCCATTATAATTACATGCACATTATGCAAATTAGGCGATGGCGTCATTTAGCGACTTCTAGCGACTTTTGGGACAACCAATAGCGACATTCCTTGCTGAGGAGTTGGCAACAGTGGTGTCACGCCAGATGCGTGAGAGTTGGCAGCCCTGACTGAACAGTAGTCATTTCTAATTCCTTCTCTGGAGTGAGCGCATATCTAAACCCATCAAAGTATCCAGTTTTTTAAATAAGTTGGCATCTTTTTTATTCCTAGATTGTATTATAACTTTACTGCGTTTTATGGCCTCCAATCTGAATTGATATTTTTTTTAAAATCTAATCGCTCATTTCTAAAGATGTCTTCAAATAACTTCTTCACCAAAGTCAATGCATGCCCTCTATTCATGAGACGGGAAAGCCAAGCAATTGTAGCTGATGATTGACATCAGAATGGACGAATTAGAAGACCGTTTTCGCGGAAGGGGACGGGTCCAGTCATCCAGGGCCGTGATAGATCGGGAGTCAACGTGAGCTTCGAAGCAACACGTCGGTGTTTTCATTCAGTTTGAACATCTCAGGAGTAAGTAAGAATTATGTCCTATACACTGTGTAGAATTATTAGATATGCGATGTTCCGATGACGTTTTTGTGATGTGTGTTTCTGTATATTTTACTATCTGTAATAATGAACAAACGATGGTGTACCATAACCCCGATATGGCTGTCACTGACCCAGTCGAGCTGACTTGTCCCAGTACTTTACACTTTGCTTTACAGATTGTTCTCCAAGGAGGGCGGTTTTGGACTTCTGAGCTCCGGGCACTGTGACCCTGCACGCGGGCGCTTCTCTCCATTCTCCGTAGCTCGCAGCGCAATCGCTTTATTTACGTTTCAGGGCAACTAGTGCTGTGTTTATGTCTTTGTTTGACGAAGTCGGTGAATACCTGGACGACAGGAGCGCCGGATGGGAAAGGTAAGCCTCGATTAATAGTGAGTGGGATGCATATGTGTACCAAGATGGCGTCTTCCAGCCCTGCACACCACCGCCGTAATAAACCATGACGCACTATGCACCATTTCGATAAATTTGTATTTCGACTTGCCTGGAATTATTTAAGGCCCCAACGCTTCATGTAGTCCAATAACGCGTCGCTCGGATCGAGTTTTATTAGTCTCCGGTAGTTGACTCTTATCTTAAGCAGTCCGGTTGTCTGCTATATGAATCTGTATAGTTAGCCTGCTTTTCGCATTTGCCGGGTACATAAGTACAGCTGGCCATCTGCCAGATGACGAATTCAGACTGGTCGCTGCTCCTCCTATATGGAGCCCGCGTTTAATCGGGATAACACGTCGTTTACCTTAATCCAGTCCTGCGAAAACACACTTGCTGTAACATACTTAAGATCAGGCTTTGAATGGTGGATTAGCAATTTCTGTTATTTCTTCCTTTTCCGAAGTTCCCGTCAACTGGTTGTCCGTATGGTTGCGTTTGGCGATGTCAGTAGGTTGCGACCCTTTGGGCCTGTAATTTAAAAAAAAAAAAAAAAATCAGTGCTGGCTGCCCCGTGCCCCTGTCCTAATTTTGGTTGCATCTGGCTTTTACACTGATGGTTATTTCCTGTCCCATCCCTTTTCCCAGAGCTGTTGCAGAGCAGTGGGAAGCCGTTTTGGGGAAACTTAGCCTACGAGTGAGGGACCTACAGCCTCGGTGGCAAGACCCTTTTCATGTCAGAGACCGAGTGCTGGTGCAGTCGTTTATGTCCTCTGCCCTGGTGCACACAGGAGACACCAAAAAGCTGCAGCTCGAGTTCTTGTCTTGCTGATAGATCTCGCAAAAAGTCAAAATGTCTGTCAACGTGAACCGCAGTGTGTCAGACCAATTCTACCGGTATAAGATGCCCCGTCTGATTGCTAAGGTGAGTAGACGTGGTGTGTGTGTGTGGCTGGCTGTTAATGATGGGTGTTTGGCGACCTTGCTGTTGGCAAGTTAAATCCCACATAAGAAATGTCATAATGGCTGAGAGGTAAAATGTAAATATGCAGCTGAATTTTTGTTGTGATCATACATTATGGTTATAAGGGACTATGTTATTGGCTAGCTGTGGGTGTGCAATACCGCTAATAACTGCTAAGCACACCTTTTTTGGAAGGGGGAGGTGATGGCCATGTGATATCAGGCATTCATGCTGGATTCCATTTACCTTGGAGATTGGATGTCGGAGCTGGGAATGACGTCACACCCAAGTTAACCATTTTCCAGTACAACAAGTCAGGAAGCCATTTTGTAATACCAGTTCTAACCAGGTTCGTTGTTGGACATTGTTAGCAGTACCAGTTCATAACAACACATTATGTGGTATTTTGCGCATACAAACACCACAGCAACCTGTCCACAGATAGTTTGACAGTAGTGTGTCTGACTGATTTAATCAAACACAAATAAGACGAATACTAATAAACAATATATAACTACAGCTTTCACTTCTGTCAATGAAGGCTGTTGCCAACTTTAATTCTGAAGTCAGTGTTGCGAAGGTTCCTCCGACTTTCTGCGTGGGATCTCTGACTTCAATGGTAATACCCAGCCCTATTGGACGCTTTCACACTAAAGTTTCAGAACCTGCTTCCAGGCCACTTTTGTGTGTCACTTTCACACCGTACAACAGGAACTGGGGTCTTAATACTAAATAAAAATGCGAGACACAAAAAGGTCATAGGTTAAACTTTCCAGTTGAATTTTCCAACTAGGGACTTAGAAATTCTGACTTCCCAGTTCAATTGGGATTGACCGTCAGGTCTGTTCCTTTGTTATAGAGTTCTGTCTGTCCTGTGCTATGGTCTGCTGGAGGGTTCGTACTGAGTGCCCTGATGTCACATGACCATGCACTGTATGCTTGTGGGGAGAAAGTCTTGGATATCACAGCAGGGTTAACATGTCGCTCCCCCCCCCTCCTTCCCGTTTGCTCCCAGGTGGAGGGCAAAGGAAATGGCATTAAGACGGTCATAGTCAACATGGTCGACATCGCAAAGGCATTGAACAGGCCTCCAACATGTGAGGACTTCCTTTGTTTGTTCATCTTTCATAAGAAGATGTTGGTATAACAGTTTGTGTAACTCTTGCCTACTCCCCATGAATACTAGTCACAGCTGGATATAAGCTAATGTGCATCTCATACCATGTCTTGGGACTCTAAAGTATGAACTGTTAGATCACTTTGGATCAAAATTAGATAATTTTACTCCCCCCCCCCCTTTGAGCAGTGCTGCCCCATTTAGGACTGGCATTGTCCATCCTGGTGCCAAATTTTGTCAGGCAAAGTCTCCAACTATGTCGTTCTCTCTAGATCCTACCAAGTTCTTTGGCTGTGAGCTGGGCGCCCAGACTCAGTTTGACACAAAGAATGACCGTTACATTGTTAATGGGTCTCATGAGGCGAACAAGCTGCAGGACATGCTGGATGGATTTATCCGCAGATTTGTTCTGTGCCCGGAGTGCGACAATCCTGAAACTGATCTGGTGAGTATTTAACCTTCTCTAGCATTCCCCCCTCCCCAATCCGGAACTTTCAGTTCACCTCAGGGCAATGATGCATGTAGGTAGTCAGAAGACTGAGGGATCTTTAAAAGGCCCTATTATGCATTTTTCTGGTTTTGCCCTTTCCATTGGTGGGTAAATGTTCGTGTAAATGGTGTGCAAAGTCTTAAGGCCCAAAGTAGACAACAAAGGGAGTTACTCTCTTCTTTGTATGTCTAGTACATGTGAAGAAATTGACAATAAAGCTGACTTTGAGTTTGAGAAACCACTCTTCTCTAATCTGCCTGAAACAATGTAAAATAGCACACAGTACTCGCACACAATGTTGCTCAGGTAATTTATATTTATCAATATTTAATAAATACATGCAACCAGCAACTATGTCTCCATTCTGTGGTGGTCTAAAAAGTGTTTATAAAGCTACTGAAACAAAGTAAAATAGCAAAGCACAAACTTAGTATACATAGTTAATGTGTTCCATCCTTATAGTACTTTTATTTGAGTAGTGTATTAAAACCAAATATCCCCTGGATTAGTTGAGAAATTAGAGCAGTACAGAATTGCTTGAACACCCACTCCTCCTTGAAAATGATGTGCTGCTGGTGTCCACGTGATCTTCTGAATGGGCACTTGTGATAGTATTGTGATTGTGATTTAGAGCGTCATGGTGCAGTCTGTGTAGTATACCTTGGGTTATGGGTGTGTAACAGTATGGAAAATTCGGCACACCTTGGTTTTGGCTTCATGGTTTGGTGCCATTTCATTACTGTAGGGAAAACAACTTGTTCTGAGATTATTTATTAAAACTGCAAACGCATTTGGGGAAAGTAGCAAACCAGAGGCAATGCATCTCAGGGCTGTGGAGTCGGTAGATAAATGCTCCGACTCCGACTCCTCAGTTTCTAAATCTTCCGACTCCGACTCCTCTGTATGTATATACTATGCTAATGTATTTTCTACATCCATTGAAGGAAAGGAAGGCAACATACATGTCATTTCACCACAGAACTACTGGCTAGGAAGCCAATGCTCTACTGTAATGCCAGATTAAAGACAAACACAATGAAAACAAGGATTTTGCCACCGACCGATGTGCGTGTACAATCGCGGCAATTGATTGGCGGCCGCAGATTGAGGGTGTCCACATGGACGGGCAGATTCAGCTTGCCGAAAATCTCGACCACCGCCCCCATCCAAAGTAATGTGATGCCTCTGTCTGCTGCAGTGGCTGTCTCCTCTGTCAGCCAGCCAGAAGTTTAGTGCATTGTGTCACTCACCGGCCAGCTGATCAGCAGAACGAGCCTCTGCTGGAGACAGGTAGGGAGATCTGTGTTCTCGGCTCCTTCGGCCCCCTTCACTAGCGCATAGCGAAGGGGAGCCGACGGAGCTGAGAACACACCAGATGATTTTTCAGGAGTTTGACGCGTGATGACTCGTTGAACGGCCGAAAAATCGGCAGTGCATCTGTAAATGTATGGGGGGCTTTAGGCTAGGTTCACAGTTCCCTGTAACAGTGGAACACGACACAATGGAAAGCGGTGCCGCACCTTACCTGTGCATTACATCCCATATAGTGACGCATACAGTCAATGAAAAGCATGCTTCATGGTTACTTGACATGTTCGTTTTGTGGTAACATTATGCACTGCATGCATTGGGCTTTATTCTTACAGCAGAGAAGTAGTTCATTATGACTTTGTGAATTGGGACATTTCAACTTACTTTTTTAATTCCCATTTAAATTTAGTAGGAGTCGGTTAACTTTTTGCCGACTCCGACTCCAGGTACCCAAAATTGTCTTCGACTCCAACTCCACAGCCCTGATGCATCTGTCAGTGTGTCTGAATTAGAAAAACCAAGAGATGTTTATTTCCACATTGTTATATTTTAGATGTTTAGTTTATTGTGATTGTAAAATAAATCCTGTGCTCTTTACTACAGAGTATGCTTGCACACCCCAAATGTTGTATTTATTTATTTAAGCCTGATTTGAATTTTCAGGTAAAAGTTTCTATAAATGCCACCGGAAGACAAACTTGGAAGAGAGTTTCTGCTTTGGTCCAGTCGTATATCTCAAATGTGTTAGTGTGTTGGGTATATTTCCAACAGCATATCAGAGATTGGTACTTCATAATAGACAGACTGTCTTGGTTTCACCAGCTACATTCTCCAGTGCTGGTGTAAATTAATGGGAAACCAAAATGTTTCCGAGCCATCAATTTATAACTCGCTGTAACCAACTCACAGCCACAGTTGGCATAATTTTTTTTTTCCTGTTTAATATCTATTTGTGAAATTAGGTTCTGCCCGTGTCAAATGTATTCTTTTTTATTTTGTGTACTGACCTGTGACAGCCCTGCTGGGTTATGGGGAGGCAGGCACCTGTATGGGGGTTGCCTACGGCATCCTCATATTTTGTGGTATTTCCGAAGTGGTCATCATTAATCCTAGGGACCGGTTTTGGCAGGTATCTCAACACGGAAGCGGGATGATCATAAAGCAGTCCGATAGCACAATTTTGTCCTTATGATGGTGTGAAGTCTTTTGGCTTTGGGTTCTAAAATGGGGGAGGGGTTCTGTTCCAGCATATCAACCCAAAGAAGCAGACCATTGGCATCTCCTGCAAGGCCTGTGGCTACCGTGGTATGCTGGACACAAGGCATAAGCTCTGCACATTTGTCCTGAAGAATCCACCTGGTGAGGAGCTAAATGTTTCCAAGGGCTGATTTTCTGCTGCAGGGGTTCCTGGGAAAAGTATGGGCTGAAATGTGGCCATATGTCCCCAACATGTCTACTGTAGCATAGAATATGGAAACTGAATGCATGAAGCAGTCAGATTAACCTGTCCATTTTGGAGCTCTATGCTGGCACTCGATTTGGGTCAGTGATTCATGTTCTGAACATGCGTCACTTCTAGAGAGCGACACTGGATCTGTCAAAAAAGAGAAGGAGAAAAAGAACCGCAAAAAGGACCAGGAGAGCTCCAATGGTGGCGACACAGGAAATAATGAGATTGATGCCCCAGATGTGGTGGTGAGTGTCCCTGTTTACCTTATCTCTGAGTGGGGTGGGGTGGGATGTTGATGTAGATTCAGCAGCTTGTTCTGTGGGTTGGGTCACCAGCAGGATGGAGATGATGATGATGATGATGATGACTGGGCTGAAGAGACCACAGAGGAGGCACAGCGGCGTAGGATGGAAGAGATCAGCAGTCATGCCAAGAACCTGACCCTAAGTGATGATCTGGACAAGACTTTGGAGGAACGAGTTAATTTGTTCTACAACTTTGTCAAGGTGGGAATGACGTGTGGCTTCTATAGAATGAGATTCTGTATGGTTCCCTATCATCAATGGGTGCTTCCACACAAAAAGAACTTTTCAGGAACTAGAATCTTTTTCAGATGTCATTGCGTGAGGCTGACCACACAAGGCTAGCGGCCGTAGACCGTTAAAGACCTATGTTAAAAAATCGATCTTGGCATAATATGAATTGTCATATGAATATGCAAATGAAGATCAATTTGTATCAGGAAATATTTTTTTTCCTTTAAATCCAGCCCTAATTATCATTGATCAGCATTGTCTACTTCTGGATACTTGGAAGTCAATAAGTTTTGTTCATTCTGTATTGATTATCTTAAGCTTCCTTGGCACTGTAGCTTTTCTCCCTCTTTTGGGAGCTGTTGCTCACATCATCTCTCTGCCCTGACAGCAAAAGAAGGACAGTGGTACTATTGGTTCTGCCGATAAGGAAATCCTGGTGGAGGCTGAGCGCCTGGATGTGAAGGCAATGGGCCCACTGATCCTGAGTGAGCTGCTCTTTGATGAGAACATCCGTGACCAGATCAAGATGTACAAGCGCCACTTCCTGAGGGTGATTGTCACTTCCTGCTCAATTGATGGTCAATGTGCAGGTGGCCTTTTGGCCAGTTCTGAAGTTTACACTAAATGTAGCACTCATATCTAAAATGATGTACATGTGATGCAAATGGCACATCACAAACATACACACTGTCAATAGAATAGAATAGAATAGAATAGAATATTCCTTTAATGTCCATCAAATTTACATCAGATGGAAATTCATCTTTAACAGTGACGTAAGCACACAATACAGACGAGACTATACACAATAAACATATATCAATACAACTAAATATAAATAAAATATGTTAAAATCAAAAGATTTAACATAAATGAATTTAAAACAAAAATGAATGAATGAATCTTTATTGGCATCATACAAAATACGATGAAATTGGATGCAGTCCCTTCAGTGCAAATGAGTCAAGCCCAAGTACAAATGTAAGCTTCCTGCACCTTCCAAACAAAATAAAAACCTAATTAATTATCAGAAAAAGCACCATTTAAGAGCATTCAATGAACATGGAGTGACTTGTTCATTTAGGTTCTCATTCTGGCTGTGCCAGTTCCCAATTTCTACCTGAAATTATGAACTTGTATCATAATGTTTGTGGTGTAGCTTAGCATTCAGAAAGGGGTTAGTTGTTTGGAAGATGGGAATAGAGAACCTGTTTTTAACTTGAGCTGAATTCTACTATCAGCCTTAATGTTCCAGTGAGATGAATTTACCTGCTGCCCTCTTGTGGTCAGTTCTGTCATGACAAGAAGGCTCAGAAGTACCTGCTGGGTGGCTTTGAGTGTGTGGTAAAGCTGCACCAGGCCCAGCTGCTGCCACACATTACCATCCTGCTGAAGGACATGTATGACGCCGACCTGCTGGCTGAAGATGTCATCTTGGCCTGGGCCGAAAAGGTATTTGGCTCGTGTGATATTCCTGTTCTTTGGTTCCAAATGACTGCTCCCCCC